AATAAACGTACTGTTGACTGGGAGTGTTAGTCTGGGTTGTAATGGAGGATTAATGGCAACCTCCCTGGGAACGAGGTTGGATTAATGGGACGAAATTTCGTGTATTTGAGCCCACGTTGTTAGTTATCTGATAGTGGCCTTCACATGTCCCATTTTGACAGCTGTCAATTGACCTTAATTTGGCTAGTGCGTATAACTTTAAATTAACAGCCCTGGCCGGTGAAAGCTTTCATTTTATTTTCATTTTTATGTTGGTATGACATATTATATCAGCTTATATGTAGGGAAAACGACTGATCTTTCATCTGAGCCCGCGAGATGGTCATGTTATTACTGTCAGCGGATGTCTGATTTTAACAGCTGCCATTTCATCCTCATACGGATAGCTGACAAAGTGTTAATTTCTCCAAGATGCGACATTTGAAATTCAGCTTACATGAAGTGTGTGTACGGGTGGGCGTACGCTACGTCATAACCAAATTTTCTCGGATGGATAGTTTACCAGATTTTCCTACCCATGGTCCTCTGCAAGCGCGCGCTTCGCGCGCGAGAGCTCCGCCATTAGATTAGATATTATGTTGGTTTAGATCGTAATATTAGGGTCATAAACCAGACAATCTTATTTAGTCCAATTGGTCGCCCCACTGAGTCTGTGATGTAAAACCTCATTTGTGAAATATTAAGCTGGGAAACTTCATTAAACAATAGTCTTCTGGGTTCAAATGTGAATGGGAAACTTCTTGTTAAATTGTCAGATGGTATAAATCTAAAGTATTGGTATTAACACCATTCAATATGCTGTTCGTAATAGCATCGGTATTGATATAAATCATGTTAATAGAATTTGTGATATTGGGAAGAATTGTCCCATATTCTGTTTTCTTCACAATTTTTTCTGTAAATCCAATCAACTTCACAAATTTACTGTTTCGCAGATCCAGTCGGTAATTGTTGTCGATCTGAATGAGAATCTTATATGTTGACAAGACGAATGTTAGGTTAATATGGTATTTGTCACCAGTTTTATCGTCGGTGGTAAGATGACCTTTCTTTTTCATGTACTGATGGAGATAATCATTCAGGTCTGAGTAAGTGTACATTCCATCCACAAATTCGACGGTTTGCCAGGATGTGCGGCCATCAGGTGAGTATTTTATTTCATTATTTTGATACTGTTCTGAAATATTGTGCCAACTGTAAGTCATTGTAACCTTATCCAGTGCTATTTCTGGTGTCATATCATTTTGGAGTTTTAACACTGGATCGAATTTGATTATGATATCTTCTGCTTTATTCTGTCTGATTTTCTGTCTATCAACAAATGATATATGGATTGCTCTTTCTTGCATTTATATTATTAGATTACATTATATACTCCTTCAACAGACTATTAAGCTGGGTGTTATTTAGAACACTTAATTTGTTTTGTGTGTGAGCAATTTTGGAAAATTCATTTTTCGCACCATTATTTCCAGCCAATATGGATCCACCTAACAATTCCAATCTATCCAGTAGGTCAGCTAGATTATTATAATAGACAACCCCTGAGCCGATTTTTTTGTATTTATTACTGGTTCGGTGAATTGGAATATCACTTATTCTGTTCAGGTCGTCAAATACCATTTTTGATAATGGTGAATACTTCTTTTTACTGTTGAACCGCTTTGTGAGCAGATCAAGGGTATCAAAGTCCACTTGTTTATCATATACTTTTTTACCATCCTTACTAGCAACCAGTTTAAGCTGCCCGTAAAGTTTGGGCACATCAATGGTTACATTTCCATAAACACCAGTATTGGGGTTAATCTTGTACGCGTTTCTCTTCTTCTGTGTGTAAATACCTTTCCCAACCTTTAGAGTTTTTGTACCCTCCTCTAGAATGCCAATTCTTTGTCGGTTTTTTTCTAATAATCTCAATATCTTCATCATATTCAGCAATCTCATTCTTATTTTTTTTTTCTGGCAGTTTTTGTTGTGCTCAAATGGGCTTTCTTCCTGCGTAACTCCTTATTCATTGAACCAGATTTATCCAGAATTTGTTTTGCATAATTTGGCTGTTTTAAGGTTTGCAAAAAAATATCAGCCGGTAATGGCAATTGCTGGTTTTGTATGAATGCCGGTTCTTCTTGTGTGAATCCATTATTAATATCAGCTACCATCTTAGGCGCCACCTCGCCACTTGGGCCTGGTAATGCTAATCTTTGAACTTGCTCGGCGTATGGGACAACTTGTTTATTAACATCTTCTCTCAATTTACTGATCTCTTCTGTTTCCTTATCAGACTTTTCTGTTAGAGGTTTCAGGTCTTCAGACGTCTTTTCGTAAACATTCTGCTTATTAGTTCGGACTTCCTTTATAACATCCCCAACAACTTCAGTCATTTTCCCTGCTTCAATTTTAGGAATACTGAGTCTCTTGAATCTTTCAATATCCATTTTACTATTGTGTTATATAAAACTTATCTTAACTTATCTCAAGTTATCTCACATAATGGTATATAATGGAGATTCCAAATTATGATTTCAATGAAGATGAAAATACAAACTTCAAACAGCTGTACAATTTCATGCCCAAATCCAATTTTAGGATGCTAATATGCGGCAATTCAGGGTCAGGCAAAACAAACTTGCTTTATCACATCCTTATGAAACCATTAGTCTACTATGACCAGATCCATTTGTATGGCAAAAACCTTGAACAGGAAAAGTATCGACACATGATAGAAACGAAGAATAATATTAGTAGCCAGGTTGGATATGACGTAATGCATTGCAATAATGATGACATTAACCCTGTCAATAGTCTGGAGAGCGATGCCCAGAAAATTGTAACATTTGACGACTTCATTTGTGATAAAATCAAAAGCCGCTTATCGATTATTTCATTCAAGGCCGTCATAAGAACTGTACTGTTATTTACCTGTCACAATCATTTTATCAAACACCAAAAGATATCAGATTGAACTGCAGTCATTATGTTGTTTATGATTTCCCTAGCAGTAATGAGAGAAATATAATTTCTAGAGAGTTGAATGTAACAAAGGACCAATACACTAAAGCCACCAAACAACCCTACTCATTCCTGTATGTGGATAAACCAATGAAGACTGTCAAAAGAAACTTTTATGGAAATATCTAATGTACTATTATAAAATGGGAATTTTTAATCAGCAACCTAATTATAATCAATCATACTGAAAAAGAAAACGAGGAATTACTGGCCCTCAAGGACCTCCTGGCTCGCCTGGTCCCGCTGGTGTAGCTGGACCTCGTGGCCCTCGTGGCCCTACTGGCCCCATTGGCCCTACTGTTGTTCATGGTCCTATTGGCCCGACTGGTGTTCGTGGGCATCGGGGCTTTACTGGTGCAGGTGGTCCTATTGGTCCCACTGGCCCTCGTGGTGCTACTGGTGCATCAGGCACTGGTTTTAATCTCACATCAGATGGAAATTATGATATGGCAAATAAAAAGTTAAGAAATATAGCTGAAGGAACTAGTTTTGTTGATGCTGTAAGAAAAAGTCAAGTTAATACTAAACTATCTCTTTCTGGTGGATTAATGACCGGTAATTTGGATATGAATAGCAATAGGATATACAATGTAGCACAGCCAAATGGTGATAATCAACCAGCTACAAAAATATGGTCAGAAAATAAATTCCTGGATAAATCCAGTGGAGTTATGGCAGGATCACTAAATATGTCCAATAACAAAATCACTAATTTTGCCAAACCAACTGATGATAAAGATGGGTTTAATTAAGAATTTGTTCATGCTTAGCGTCAGCTGTAGCGTGCGTATATCGAGTTATGGATGCACGCGGGAAGTTTGGAGAGCACGAAAGACGCGTAAGAGTTGCACGAGGCGAAAGCCGAGTGCAACTCTAGCTTCTTGAGTGCTCTCCAAACTTCCCAAGTGCATCCATAACTCGATATACGCACAGCTAAAAGCATGAGCAAATTCTTTTATAACATAGGTCACAATAATGTTTGCTTTTTGATTAACTGAAAAATTCTCGTAACGCGCGACACAGTAACAGTAACGGTTCTATTGGCTGATTACGAACACGCCACATTCGTCTAGTTTGAATGAAAATATTCTTTCTGTAAAAGTGAGAAAGAAAATTTGCTTCTTTATTCGTTAACGATCAATGGAAACTAAGCAGAAACAAAGGTAAAAGAGTCTTAAAGTTCACCTAAAGTTAAAACTAACATGTTCATAAGAAGACGTGGAGTATGGTTTGGATTTGCTGAAAAGATGTATACGTTTTGCTCGGCGAAATCCAGAAAACATGTTAGCGAAGACGACCGTCATCCTTCTTTAAACTTATATTCATTTACGAACATTGGCTGGTCATTACGGCTTCTTGAGAAGACCTGGCAGCAGTTGTTTTTGTGAGTAATAAATTTATGTCTTCTTGTGTAATTTGTGTTCTTATTGCGATAGAAATTTCCCTGCTTCAGTTGGATTGTCCAGAGATAACAAAGTGCACAACAAATTTAAAAACAACAGTAAAAACAGAAAATTTGCCTTTAAGTGTTGTTGATGACCAGTTGGTGTCGGTTCTGTTCCCAGTAAATGTCTTTCGGCCAAAATTTGCTGCAGCTGGTCTTCGACAAATTTGCGAACAGCGCGCAACTTGCGAGTTTTTTTTTTAATTTGGCTTTACTTTTGCTGCTTGTTGGATCAGGACCTAAAAGGTCAATGCCGATAGAAAAATTGGGCAGTTCTTCGCTGGTTTCTTCCATATTTTAAAGAGAAGGAAAAGTGCACTACAGCTTGAAAGACGACAACTTTGCAGCCAGGTAAAAAAAAATGCTCACGTCATCTTATTTACGCACGGGCGTGCGTAAATAAAGATTTTGTTCATAGCGGCTCAATAGGACTTATATAGTCTATATAGAGCAAGCACGCGCGCTATGTTATAATAAGAAATATATACATAGATGATAATTATTTCAAACTATCCGGTGGCACTGTTACTGGTCATATAATTTTAAACAATGCTATCCTTATTTCACAATATCAAGCAATAAGCCGGAACACTGGAAATGCATTTTTTGTACAAATTACTAATCCATATGTTTACCACAAATTTAATATGGTCAAAAAATACCTCTTATTTGCCGAGTTTTCGGTCCGTACTGTAAATTACGGACCGAGTTTTTTTCCATCGATTTATGCGGGCCATAAATCGATGGAAAAAAACGACGATCCGTAATTTACAGTACGGACCGAAAAAACTAGGCTAATAAGATGTTTATTATATGGCTTCTTCCTGTTTGGGGGACCGGAAACAAGTGCAGGACGCACGATTTGACAGTCATTTGACAGGTGTCAAAAAAGAAAGTTTTTATTGGCGCACGAAAACAATAGCACATAACAAAGGCTTTCCGAGAAAGTGAAAACAAATTCGCCATGTTAAAAAAGTTTATTCGGTCAAAACTAAGCACACTGTAAGTTCTAGCTCTTTAATGTAACGCTGGAGTATTTTGGAAACCGGACACTTGTGTCTGTCTAGAAGTCGTTTCCATCTTTCCTTCGTTTGTCCTTGTGAAAAAACACTGCAAAAGGCAAAGAAGCTGTTCAAGGTAAGTTTGTTGTCATTGTCGAAGGATTCGCTCGTTAATTGTTTTTGGGAAAACCTTTCTTTCTGCCAGTTCATTCTCGTCTTCAATTGTGATCTGCGTTAAAATTTTCAAACACTGACTAGAATTGTCTTCCTTGGTAAGGTTACGATTTGGTTTCTACAACAGCTTCGTTCTCATTAAAACAAAGCTAGGTTAAAATTTCAAAAGGCAAAGTCAACATCCCAGTCCTCAGGGTTTACATACATATTTCAAAGTTTATTCGGTGGAAACTAAGAGCACTCTAAGTATTCACTCGTTAATGTGACGCTGGAGTCTTGTGAAAACTGGACATTATTGTGTCTGGCTCGAAGTCGCTTCTATCTTTCTTTCGTTGGTCTGTGAAAAAACACTGCAAATGGCAAAGAAGCTTGTCAAGATGATCGCGTGCAGGTATGTTTGCTATCATATTTGTTGAAGGAATTACTCATTTTCTCTTGGGCAAAACATCTCGAATCTCTGCCAGTCGATTTTCGTCTTCTTAACTGTGTACTAAGATAAAATTTTCAAACACTGACTAGAATCCTCTTCGATGAGATTACGAGTTAGTTTCTTCATCGCCTTCGTTCACAAATAAACACAGTTTGAAATGTTGAAGGCCAAAGTCAACATCCAAGTCCTCAAGGTTGACAGGCGTCTTATAACTTTATTTAAACGTTTTTTCCAAGGTAAAGAGATTTAGACCTCCGAAATGAACATTTTCTTTCAAAATTTTGGTCTGTATAGCAAGTTACGGACCGCAAATTGACCAATCGCATGGAGAAAACAGACTCAACCATATAATGACAGGATTTACAATCTAGCTGACCCGACTGATGCTACTGATGCTATCAAGAGCAATTCTCCAGGAAAGTGAAGCAAAGTTGGAAATGAAAATTTTTAACCCCCCTTCAATTATTGTGTGGAGGTAGGTTACCTTGGGGGATAAACAAAAACAACCATATTTGGATCGGCAGATGTATCGTTGCCATGGTAACCACACTTGATCACGTCGGCCAGACGTCTATGTTTTGACCAAAAAATTCACTCTCAAGAAGTAAAAATAAACGAGTCTGGTTCTCGGGTGCACGTGAACTAATTCAAATGAAATTCATACAGATGGTAGAGCCACTCTCCCAGTTTATAAAAATCGCCGTTAAAAAATTTTGGGTTTTATAGGCAAGAAGAAATTGCTCGTTTTACTATGTCCCCTGTCACCCATTTTGACAAGCAGGAAAAACAAGCACAACCATATTCGTAATTTCTCTGAAAGTACTCTTTCCACATAAGTCAAATTAGCAGTAGAGCTTGCATAGATATTGAAGTTTCTAAATATCATAATATCTATTTGGGGAAAATTATATTCTGGCCATGGGTGCTAAAGACATCGGAGGCAAGTTTTAAAACATTGCAAAATTGGAAATTTTGAGGGCTTTAGAATTTCGTTCAAACAGGCTTTAGAGAGAGAAAATCAGCTTCAAAAGTATCTTTTATCATCTTGTTACCTTCGTTTAGTTAATAAGGTTTTGGCCAAAGAATTTGATGAAACATGAATTGATACAAAACTTACCTTGAAGGTTATTGGGAATTTCTTCGGGATACTTTCGTCGCGTGGTTCCTTCAGTGTCTCTCCTTCGCTTGCTCCATTTTCTTGGCCAAATCTAGCGCAGACTCTAATCTAACAGTTACTCTAATCGAATGTCTAGTTTGCCGTGTTTCAGACAAGAGATGATGATACAAGCAGCCCACCTACACTTGACAAAGAATAAACATGGTCGTAATACTTCCGATTTCTGCCGTCGACCATCTAAACTCATCAATATTATCCAACCACGAAGTGAAGTAGATGTGTCAAGATTAGTATACAAAGCAAATGTATACTTTTGAACGATCCAAAGCAACGTCAATGGCTAAACTCGAGCCAGGTATTGCGATGGCCGATAAGCCAAGAATGGTGAATAAACTGAACGAGTAGGCCGGAAGTCCCAGAAGCACGACTGCTGGCCGGATGTAACACAATGTAATGGGATGTAACACCGGATGCAATTGTAATGATATCCTCTTGTAATGGGGTTGTTTATCAAGAAAGCCAAACCAAAAAAAAGACGAAAATCAAAAAGCATTAAAGAAAAAATAAACGTTGAGCAATCTCATACCCTGTGAAACTGGGAACAAGGTTGAAATGTTTAGGTGCAAAGTCACAGGGCCCAACGATGAATTTTATTATTCGTTGAATGGGTACAAGTGCAATCTGCATTTTTGGCACGCACAGAATGAATTTTCTTTTTTTGTGCATACCTGTATTGACAGACAGTTCGAACGTTGAAGATTTCTTACAAAAACTAACTTCCTTGTTC